AAGTGAAAAGGAAGGCCTATGGTCGGCGACGCTCTATATCACACCCTCTAAACACCTTGTTTCAAGATCAACTCACGGGCACAATAGGCGATACTACACATAAGATGCTAAATGTGCCAACTCCAATTCCCAAAACAAAATGCAAATGGCAGCAGACCACAAAGATGAGTGCACCCGTAATCAATCAATACCATTAGCAAACCGAGTTGCAAAACAAGAAGGACCTCTCACACAGATGGACGCCGGTAACTAGATCCTGCGCGGTAACAGCATACACGCGCCCTGTAGGCCCCTGATCTACCTGCTCACCTCTAGGAGCAAAAGACTACTGCACTGACTGGGATGACGAAGCTCCCGGATTGGCCCTCGAGGTCTGCACAGACTGAGCTGGCTGATAACCCTGCGTCTGCCTAGAACCAGACGCTCCTGAAGTAGCACTCAACTGTAGGCAATACCTCTTCAGGTGCCCAAGATGACCACACTGATAGCAAGACAAAGGCTGGCCCCTGCCCTGACTCTGGCCCTGAGGTCTAGCTGAAGAAGAAGCAGCTCGTTGACCCCCTCCATTCTGCGGGCAAACCGAAGACTTGTGACCCAGCTGGCCACACGCAAAACAAGTCAAACCTCCCTGACTACCTCTCCTCGAGCCTGCACTCGGCGCCGGAAAGATCGATCTAGTAACTCCACCCTGAGACTGCTGAGGGTTATAACCCCTCTATCTCCTTCCATCACCCTGACCCTCCTGGCCCCTCTTGAAGCCTCTATGTTTCTCCTCGTCCTCCTCCTGCATCATAAGCTCCATATGAGCTGCAGCATCCACTAAATGTCTATACTCTCGGATGAAAGACCCACCAACCCTCAACTTGAGTCCCCGCCTCAACTTCCGTTCAAACTCATAGCAACGGCGTTCTTCGGATGCCACCAACTCAGGTGCAAACCTGGACAAACTAGTAAAAGTGGCCTCAAACTCTGCCACAGACATGCCCTGCTGATTAAACCGCCTAAACTGATCTCTCAGCTTCTCCCTAGCCACTGCAGATAAGAACCTCTCCTGGAAAGCATTTACAAACGCCTCCCATGTACCACCAACACGAGCCTTCTCGTACTTCCACCATTAACCCGCATCTCCCTTCAGCTGGAAGGATGCCAAGGTCACTTTCAGTGCCCCGTCCTCGATGCCAAGCATCTCGAACGTCTTACTCATTTGTTCCAACCACTCGTCAGCCTTCAGTGGCTTCTTTGGATCCCCAACAAACTCGTCCGGGTTAGACCGGAAGAATTCCCTCTTCAAGAAAGAAGGCCCTGCCTCCGCTACTTGATTCCCAGCTCTGAGAATACCCAAAGCTCCTGCTATCTCTCGTGCCAAGGCACTCATAGCCTGTTGACCCGCTGGCTCGGCCACATTGGCCTGACCAACTCCCTCCTGCACTGCCGGAACCTCCTCCGATAAAGGCATCTCCTACCTACCACGCCTACCGCGTCCTCGTCCTGACATCCTAATAAAGGTAACTCAGAACATTAGCACATTCATAAATGTGCCGAAACTAAACACTCACGTCCTAATGCATGGACAACCGTAATTCATTCCACGTAAGCACACAAACACATAAGCATTTACGAATTTCATTTTCGGATAATGATAGTCCCGAGGCATTACTAGAGTTCCGGTTAGAAACGGCATTGATCAAGTGCCTTTCCAACAATACTCCCAGAAACCCAAGGATCCAATCAACATCCTAGAAATTAAATCCCATATCCATATAAACACGTAAGCATGTTATCAATTTAAACACATAGCATATGACACTACACCTAAGTCTCTATCAAGCGAGACAAACCCATTGTGATCCTAATCACTTCCCACGTACCCTTGTCGGACCCATAAAGGAGCTAACCATGAACTTCCAATTTTAATTTTCTGCAACTTCCATTTTTATTTTTATTCGACGTCCGTTTTTATTCAGGTTATTTTTCTATTCAACTTCCTTTTTCATTTAATTTCCATATAGATCGTTAAGGAATAGTGGTTTCTTGAATGAACTTCCAACAAAAGCAAATGCCCTACGGGCTTGCAGCTTTCCAAGTTAACACTTGGTTACAACAAAAGAGTGCTAACTCATTTACACATTAAGCCCTTGGCTTGTAAATACATGTAGTACATCAAAGAAACTAAATAACAAAAGTCTGCCCGCCTCTAGCCTCCCAAGCTACGTCCTTGGAGGTGGCATGCTACCTGTACCTGAAAATGATATTCCCATATAGGGTGAGCCACAGCCCAGTAGAAATACACTAAACCAAATATGAACAATGACTAAAAGATTAGCAGTTGATAGATGGCCAACACTGATACTTTCCTTTATCACACTTTACGGTTTCATGACATACAAGTCCATGTTACAATCCATTTTCCAATTCCTTTCAATTCTCAATTTATAACCATGGCTCAGAACCTGGCCAAACAACTTATATGAGACAGTAACTCATATTAAACACTTTCCCATTTCATAATAGATAAGCATACTAGCTATATCACACATCAACAGATAAGCATACAAGCTATATCATCACTTCCATAGACATGCATAAGAGCACTATCACACTTCCAAAGACAAGCATATGAGCTATGTTAACACATCACTAGATAAACATATGAGCTCTATCTATGGAGTCCATCCCCTATCTTCTCCCAACAACATCCGGTTTAGAGGTCCATCCCCTATCTTCCCCTAAACCGTGGAGTACATCCCCTATCTCCTCCAACACGACACAATGCATATAAACAATAATTATACACATCATCACACAATACATAGATTTAATATATTCTTTCAACCGTCATACTCAATGACACATTCTAGTGATTAGTTTCAATTTGCCTAATCATCATACATTGTCTACAACAATCAAGGCTATCCTCCACCGATAGCCCAAAGCAATTATTTCTATACAGAAAATAAATGCAACAATGGATATATAATCAACATTTCAACTAGGTGAGCGATAAATAATCCAATTACACCATTTAATCCCATATCTTTCCAAATCAATCCTTCATTTCTCATAATTAATTATGCGAATTAATTAACCAATGTGATTAAGGTATTTTCCATAATTAACATTACGACCCTTAGGTTCCATTTTCATTAATGTTTTAACATTAATTTCACTTTTCCATGCCAAACATGCAACTAGGTTTTATATAGTTAAAACCCCACCCTTTGTAAATTTACACAAAAGCCCCAAACTTTTACAACATTACCAAACCAACCCCATCATCTCAAAATACTAAAATTTAAAGACAAAACCCATAGTGAGGAGTAGGTTATCCCTACCTCAAAGAATGACACCCAACAAAGAAGATGATGGAAACGAAAATGCTCCAAACCACGAACCTTTCGGATCAAAAGATAGCCCTCGACGATCAACAACTTTTTTGTAAAGGCCAAAGGTGAGGAAATCACTCCTACTAGATCAACACCTAGAGAGAAGGTAGTGCTCTAGAGTGAGAAGCTCAACAATGGTGTTTTTGGAAAAGTAAGAGAGAGAAGAGAAGTGAAAAAAGTGATTTAAAATGACCCAGCGGATAACTCATATACGCATGACCCGCTCGAGCGAAGAACACAACGCTCGAGCGCCAAGAACAAAAATCTGGACACGCTCGAGCGTAATACGGCCCGCTCGAGCGCCAAGACACAAGAATAAAGCACTTCCGCTCGAGCGTGAAAATCACATCTGCAGAAGTTTTGTAGGAACACGAAATACTGGAGGTGTGCAATCCTCGCTCGAGCGCAAGAAGACCCGCTCGAGCGGATCGCCTAAAAACTGGACAACAAGGAATTGAAACCAAGGTCTAACTAGCCTATAACAACCCTGCTCAAAACATCCTAAAACTCAATCAAGTGGAATTAAAGGACGACAACAAGATAGATACCACTACCAACTTCACTGAACCGAGTCCGGAATACAACAGAACAGTAAAAGAGACAACCGGGATCGGTATAACTGTTGTGTTGCCCTATGGGCTTATTTTGGAATCTGTTTTGATGATTCGAACCGTTTACATTTTAGAGTATATCAAGTAGAATATACTTGTAAAAAATCAAATTAATTTGATATCGTTAACCATTTTATCCACTCACGTTTGTATTTATTTTAATACTTTAAATCACAATGTCATTTATTTTATAAATACAAATGTCAGTAAAAAAAAGGATTAACGATAATTTGATTTTTTACAAGTATATTTTACTCGATGTACTTTAAAATATGAAGGATTCACCCCGAAATGAACCCATAGGCCAGTACAAGAGACACCCCAAATCCAGTTTATAATGTTCACAATGAAGGAAAGAAAATTACCACTATGTTTGGGAATCTATAAGAGAGAAAATAAAAGAAATGATTATTTAAGTTATAAGAGAAAAGAAAAGAAAAGAAATGATTGTGATTTCTCTCCTTTTTGTTTGGTTAGATTTCATAAGAGAAAAGAAAAGAAATAGTTTTATGTTATATTACCAAAATAAATTTTTTATATTTTGTCAATCATTTTATTTCTTTTATTTTTATAGAGACATAGTTGGTATTATGAAAATATAAAAATCTGTTGGTTTCTTTTCTCTCTCAATCTCTTCACTTTTGGGAATATTGAAAATGAGGATTATAAGAGAAATGAGTTTCTCTCTATTTCTATCCATTTATCCACATTTTTCTTCACTTAAATTATCCAAATAAATAAAAAAAAATACATAAGTGTATTTTGTTTGGTTTTGGGAGATAAATTTTTTAAAAAAAATATTGGGGAAAAAGTTTAGAAATTTTTGTAGTTTGTTTTGTTATGTATTTTGGAAATAATTTTGGAGTATGAGAGTTTGAAATGACTTGATATTTTGTTATAATTGAATAGATGTGTATGAAAGAAAAAGTGATTGAGAAAGAGAGATAAAAGAAAAATAATTAATTCGTAAGAGAGAAAGTAATTTTAAAAATCACACAATCTAGAATTCACCTTAACGTAAGCCATAAGAACAGAGGAACTCAAGGTTGGCGGCCACGAGTCCACTTCAATTACTCAATCTGACGCCAATGGCCGCAGCGTTTCTCTCAAACCCTCTTCGTCTCCCTCACTCCTTCTCTAATAATAAATATTTGAAAAGCTATGGATTTGTGTCACTACATATAAGGTGTGTTTATTGTTATTATTTTAAATTGCCCTTTTTTTTTTGTTAAATACCGTTCCTATTTTTATTTCTAAGATTTTTTTATTTTTTTTTTGGTCGAAATATTTGTATATAAATGAAAGAATTTGTGCATCATGATTTTTGTTGGTCATTGATAAGAAATTTGACCTTCAAATTAAATCCCTAATTTTTTTTTAAATTTTTTGTGTTCTCTAATATAATTGATTCATAAGTGCCATTGATTCTCCCCTTAATCATCTGGGTTTTTTTTTTTTTTTTGGATTAACCTTCTGAACTTGTTTGCTTTTAAACTGGTGTACTATTCATAATAAGGTAATAAAAAAGCTAACAAGTTCAAAAGCTATCATCTATATTGTTTTTTTTTTTTTTTTTTTTGGTTTTTGATTACCTTGTGTAATTGTTAGCTTTTGAACTGGTGTACTAGTGCATTCAGTTAGTGCAAAAAAATGAAAAAATAATTAACTGTGTTTGAATTATACAATTTGTTATGCCTATATCCAGTTGGGTTGCTGTCTTTTATTTTATTTGCTTTTGCTTCTATATAGTTCTTAGCAATTCTGACTCCATCAGTTGTTGATGATCTGTTCTCTCCAACTTACTGTTCATTTTGTTATGAATTAGTCATTAGAAATCTACAATATGACTATTATTAGAAATGTCCTTGATACTTGGGGGCTTTTGATTAGTATTTTGATAATGATTTCTATTTAGTTAAAGAATCATTGGAATTTTTAATTTGTATTCTGTTAAACAATCTGTGCGCTTGTGATTTATACTGAGTGCCAATTGCCAAAGATTTACTGGGCTCGTGATTTTATTAAACACCTAGGCCCCAAAATTGTTCTGCTGCAATTTAAAACAGGCTCAATTCTATAGGCCCCAAACCAACTAAACCACTCTGAACTGAATCGCCTTACACACATCAGTTTTGTTAGGTGTTTTAGTATACTTGGTCTGCTTCAGTCATTAAAAAGGAAAAACTGAAATGGTCTGTTTTCTGGGAAATTTTCCCCAAATCCCAACCAAACCTAACTGAGTACACCCCTAACTTCATGGAGAGTTTGCTGTGAGGGAGGGGGAGTTTTAGTGTGCGGGGGGAGGGGAGTTGTTGTGACTGTGAGGGAGAGGGACGTAGGGGTGACACTGGGGGAGTGGGGACAGCTGGGGAAGGCGTGAGCTGTGAGGGAGGGGAATAAGGGCAGATCTGTGAGAAAGGAGTCGTTGTGAAGCAGGAGCTGTGGAAGGGGGGACATTTGTGTGAGAGATCATTAAACATAACTAAGAAAGACTTGTCCTTGGTGTTTGATCGTTTGTCATTGGAAGCAGAAGATGTATGGTGGTTGGGGCCTGTGTGTTAAGCTGACAATGAACCTTTGTGTGAGATCGAGAGCTTAGTTGCACAAAGCGGCAACAGGGACGGGAGCATAAGCAGGAGCGGGAGTGGAGGAGCGAGGGCATATAGAAGTTTCTTAGGTTGGGAGCACATATAGGAGCATGTATATTGTTATTTATTAAATATATAAAGGTATTCTAACAATTATTTTTTGTTGCTTAGTTGTAATATATGTATTAAAATATGAATAAATATTAGAGATTCATGTCAATTACAAATTGTCTTTATTAAGTATAAATAAATATTATATGAATAGGAACTACTAGAATAAGTTTGAATTGTTTTTCTTTTGTTTGTATGAGATTTAAATGTTTGAGAGGTTTTGAGTTTCTTTCTTGACGGAAGCGAGTTTCTTACTTGGGAGCACAAAATCACTTTTCTTAAGAAACACCACTCGAGTATAAGGTTCCTGCCTATGAAGCACAGGTACGGTGCGGCTACGGATATTGGTACGGGTACGATACGATACCTTAAAAAAATATGATACTGGTACGGATAGGGTACGTTAATAAATTTTTTATTTTTTATAATTTATAGTTTGAGATTCAATCTACAAATCAAAGTTCAATACCAAAACTAAAAAGACAAATTTAAAACCTAAAGAGAAATCATAATTCAACAATACCAATACCGAAGTAAAGTCTATAAGTTATTTTAATGCCATTAAATAGGAGAAATTACAAAATAAAATTTCATTCTAAAAGCAAACTAAGCAAAATTTAAAAAGTTAAAGCTTTAGTTTTCACTTCCATGAACTTCATCATTGAATAATACATTTTTCATCTCTGGCACATCAAAGATTTGCAATTTCAAGTAAATAAGAACTCTTTAATAAATTAAACGTATCCCCACCAATGTCTCATAGCTTGGTGTACTTCCAATGTACCCACAAAGTACCTATGGAGTATCCAACTGCCAAAAAATGTATAAAAAGTACATTGTACGTATTTCGAGTACCCGGTACACATACAACCCTATTGATACAAGTACGACAACATTTTCGGAGTATCCATGCTTCATAGGTTCTTGCTACTAAGGTCAAGAGAGGTGTTTGGTTTGTTCATTGGAGGCAGAAGGTGGCCAATGGTAAGCCGACGATGAACCAATGTGATTGAAAGATTAAGACAAAGAGAGGCGCTCTTTGTAGTCTGTATCTATAGAGGCAAATCTAGAATGATTGATGTTTGGTGGTGTGTTTGAAAGGGGGTTTCGAGAGGTGATTAGGTGTGGGGGTGCAAATCACCACACAACCTCCATCGACACACTACTACCACACCACAATGGTTACCACTGCACAACAACCATCAATGTCACCACCCTACCACTACCACTACCAATACCAAAGATCCACTTTACACCTGTGGTTTGCTCTAGTACACTTCCCTATTTAGAAATAGCCAATTTATCCTTACAATGGTGTTGGTAAGTTTTGCTCTTCACCTCTCTTCATTAATAATTGTATTCAAACTGACAAAAATTGTGTCTCACACACAGACATTCTGAGAGTTGACAAGAGAAATAATTCCAGTCAAAGACAAATTTCCAATGCAAAACTATAACATCCGCATTGTCTTCATATTCTTTCTCTAACCCATGTAACTCTAGCGCTCAATGGTTTAAGGGATGACCATGTGTCATGCGATGGCCTTAACTGGATTGTCTAAGGGAAAAGGCTCGGATGCCACCCCACAAACTGTCTTAACTCTAGTGAGAGATTGGATCCTCGAGGGCTTAGATCATCGATTCCCTCTTTTTCTACCGAGTTTTCTTTCTTTTCTAGTTTTTTTCGTTTCCCTTAGATTTAGGGTTTAGTTCCTCTAGATCTCTCAGGTTTTTGTGTCTTCTTTTTTTGCTTGCTGCTTTTTCTCTTTCCTTGATATAATTTGTTCTTTTTTGTTTCACTGGTGTCTTTTTCATTTTCTTCGTTCATTCTGTGAGGTCGGGACCTCTCTATTTTTTTGTAGATCTCTTGTCAATTCCTTTTCATTTTGGGGTTTGTTTTTGGATGAAATAGTTTTGAAGTTGGTGTCTGATGTCATACCGAGGGCTTGTTGGAATGGATAGAGGCTGGTTGAGGTGGATAGGGGTCCTTGTCAAATGGGGTGTATGTCATAGGTGGTGCCGTGGTGGGGGTTGAGATAGGAGACACGAGAAGAGGGAGAGAGAGTTTTGGCAGAGAGTGGAGGTAGTCGCTGAGGGGGGTGATTATCAATGGGGAGATGGTTGAAATGGGGAAGGAGAGACAAGAGGAGGAGAGATTATGTAGATAGAGAGAGAGGAGGGGCTCTGTCATAGGAGGTATCTTTGCAAAAGAAAAGAGTTTTTGTAGAGAGAGTTAGAGATGTAGTAGATCTGTGGGTATTTTTATGGCAATAGGGTTTGAGGATATGCTAAACTATTTTGCCATTTTGGTCGACAAAGGGTCACCTTTTAGTATTTTGAAAGTTGTGATGTTATCATAATGCTTTGAATAACATCTTTTCATATTCCCTTGATCCTTATAACTAATGCCTCGTTGATTAGAAGTGCATATGACTTCTTGTTGCCATTTACCATATTACTCTTCTTATAGTGGCTTTGGTAGGTCAAATTCATGTTACTCCTTCATATAATTTTTATCACTGCGTGCGATTATGCTGTTTCACCAAGAATTCTCTTGTCCTCGGCATGTGCTATGTTTGCACTAACCAATTCTTGCGTATGCAGTTTGTTTCCTTGTTTTTGCTCTTACCTACTGCAATTGTAATATCCCAGTTTGCTACATAAATTTATGGAAATGTTGTTTCTCCCATTTGCCAATAGTTTGTAAGACATGGCTAATCTCATAGCCATCTGACAAAATTTATGTTCAGTAGGTAGGGCAAGAAAGAACATTCCTGAGATTTATTCTGTGAATAACATTTCCTTCAATCTGTTGTATCCCATATAGTGAAATCTGCAGTCTTGGGTATCATCCAACCGTCAAGGTCCACAATTTCTTGTTTTGCTAGTATTTGAACATTTAAGCTTCATGCAATGCATTCTTAGTCCGGTTTATCTTTAAAAAAAAAAAAAATTGAACGTTGCAGTAATGAATATGAAATTTACGAATATGCATGTATAATTTATCTTGTAAACGAAGACATAGAAAATTCTTTTTGAACAACACTTGTTCATGTTTTTTGCTTGAGCATAAACTAAAATTTATATGCTTTTTAAGTATTCCCCATTCTGTTAATACCTTGCCAGAATGATTTAAAAGCTTTGGCAAAATTGCCTTTGATTCATGCAACTTTTCTTAATCCTGATACGATCAACTTTCCTTTTCAGGTAATTCGTAAAGCATCTTAGAGATACTGTAGGACCCACCTACTATTTCGTATTTCAATTGTTCAGATCTCAATCTTGTTTGACCGACTACATCATAGAGAACGATTGATTTGCTTTATTTATTTGGCAACAATGACAGAATTCTTCAACTCCACAATTTGCAGACAGCTGTTGCAAATGTTCTTGGCAATAATCTTTTTCCACATTTCTGAGTACATTCTGGCAATTGCCATCCACGGTAGATCAAACGTAAGTTGTAGGTCTCTTTTGATTAGCAAAAACTATCTTCTGGCAATGATTTGTTCACTGCTAGAGTACTTTCTTGAAGTTTACTTTTTCTCTGGGTTGAAAGAACAGTACTGGTGGATTAGCGACTTTGGACTCGTAATGGTTGTAATTGGGGAAATCATACGGAAGACGGCAATTTTAACAGCTGGACAGGCCTTCACTCATCTCATTAAGATTTACCACGATGAGGAGCATCACAAACTGGTTACTCACGGTGTCTATAGATTTGTTCGTCATCCGGGATATTGTGGGTTTTTCATTTGGTCAATAGGCACTCAGATAATGCTCTGTAACCCAATATCAACAATTGCATTTGCCATTATTGTTTGGAACTTCTTTGCGAAACGGATACCATATGAGGAGTATTTCTTGAGGCAATTTTTTGGGTCAGAATATGATGAATATGCCTCTCAGGTTCCTTCTGGGATTCCATTTGTGGAGTAGTAAGAATCTATGAAATTTTTAGAGTGTGTCATCAAGAAAGCGCTAAGGCTGTTTATGCAAAGACGTTAGTCTGAAGCTTTGTCAAAGCTGATTCAATTCATGGGCTGGATGGACTGGATTATTCTTGAAGAACCAAACATTTTAGATGGTTTGGTTACTTGTTATGTTCCTGTTGGAGATCTCATTGGAAATCAATCAGTCTTCTTGTGATATACTAAACTCGGTATGTGTACCTTCCATAGATCTGACTGTTGAGTCTTGATCCCAAGCCATTACGCACAAAGTTGCAAGATTTGCAATCATCACTAGTAATATTTATGCGTTTTTGTCGCATGACTTTTTCATTGACATGAAATAACGGATGCCCTTTCTTATCGGCCTTTGTTTCTTTGTATATTACTGGGCTCTATATGCTTAAGCAGAAAGTAGAAAAGTTCTTCATTCGTGCTGCTGGATGACATATTATTGTCCTTGGATTATCACAATAAATGGTTACATAGTATTCTGTTATCTTGTGCATTGATATGTTGTCAGAATAAGTAATGAACCATGCATAAGGCTATATATATATACTTGCATGGTTATGAGTGGAGTGGACCTCCAATAGGAAAGGGTTAAAGCCATAGGCTTGAGACCAATCCAGGCCAATCTTATATGTTGTGCTTTGATTATGAATGCATTGCAGTGAAAGCTTTTGGGAATTTTATTGTGATTCAATAGATAGCAAAACATTCCATTTCAATTTAGATAATATATATCTATCTATACTATTATAAAGGGAAAGCTAGAATTGGTGTTGATGTCTGTCTTTTTGTTTCAAAACATTTACAACAATCATTAAATCAGGTGAGAATTTCAAGGTATAAAAATCTCGAGTCATAATTCAACGATTGTGAGTGTTTTGAATAGGGGATTGAGGAATTTGAGATAGAGGATTTGTTTTACCCTAGTTTCCCTTGATAATAATGCAATCGGTTTGATTTGATTCAATTTGATTCCATCAATTTTTAATGGATAGTAAAATTCATTATCAAAGCTATAATTTGATTGAATCTGTCAAAAAAATTCAATGTTAATTGGTAGCTAAATACATTTGCCAAATTTTATTTTTTCTCACATGATGATGATTCACAAAATGACTAGCAAATCTTCTCTCTCCAATCTTCACCATTGAAACAACATTTGTCAAAAAATAAAATTTTTGTACTATAACTAGCCAAAAAATGGCTTTAACATTGCCAATTTTGCAATGACCATTGGAGTAACAACCCAACGGTCAAAAATAGATACACTACTCTAATAATAACTTGTTATTTTGGTACAATCATATTTCACATCTTCATCAACCAAATTATTGGTCCAATTAAGTATCAAGATTTTTTTTAATATGGATAAATTATGATTATCAATGTAATTTTTTATTCAATTTCTGTAATTATAATTTTTGATATTGTTACGTTTTTAAAATTTGTAGAATTTTCTATAGTTTTAGAATTTCTAATTGTGAGTTTTAATTTGTAAAAGTTTCGAACTTCAGTAGAAGTAGTTAGATTTTTGACAACAAATATAAAATAACAGAGAGTAACTTTGTCAAACTTTCAACCAAATTTAGCACAAATTTGACTTCACCATTGAAGTTGCCCAACCCTCAGCATTCTAACTGAACTCTCAAACACTAACAATTAACCTCTAACACCATATATATGCAAGGGGAGTTACCTTCCATTTTCATCCTATCATATGCTTCGAAAATACAGAAAAAAAATATTCTACTAAAACAAACAAACCATTAAATTTAATATTACAGAAAAAAAATTTAATATTTTCCTGCCATGACATAAAAGGGACAATACATGAAAAAGACTCATCTGGGAATATATATTTTGTATAAACCCAACAAAACCAAGCTGCTCCATTTTGTTCTAATGGCTTCCCTAAATTGATTTAGGGTAAAATATTCAATTTGCAGAGGGAAACCATATAGAGAACTAGGCGGCATGAGCAATTATCTATTGAATGACTCTATTCCTTCGTTTCTTTTTCTTTTTTGTCAACATGAAACAATTTGTTAATTTGTTTAGTAAAATTAATGTACTACTTAAAAAGTCATCGCTACTCCATTAGGTCAAACTCTTGACTTTTTCTCACTGCACTCTAAGATGCAACTACATGCCAACTTACCACAAAAACCTTGGTGAATGACTCCTTTCCTTCGCCAGGGCCAAAACTTCTTTTTTATTTTATTTTATTTTTCTTGCTTTTAAAATCTTAATATTTAAAATAGATCTACTTAAATTAAATAATAGGAATAACTCAACTATCAAATTAGTTTGTAACCGAGTTTGCAAAATAAGAAAATTAAAAAGAAGGGTTCTATTGTACAACCTTACTTTGAAGACAATTCTCTCCAAATTTTTTATACAATGGATCAAAAGAGGTTGCCAATTCTCCAGCCATAAAAAGAAGGGGAAAAGAAAAGGAAAAAAAAAAAGGCATTCTGTCCACCAATTTCACATTTATAAGATGTCCCAAATCTCTTAAATTGAATTGAAAAATTATCCTATTATCCATGAGGACTCATTCCAACATTGCATTTTCTTTCTTCTATCTAATATGACTTTAGTGGGACTTCTATTTCAACAAAAAATGAGATTAGTCATTCCATTCTCACTTCATGCCATTCTTGTACACCAAATATAGCCTAAAGTATCAAATCTTAATTTCTCAAACGTAAGATTTCTCATTAATGTGAATGTCATCAATGCTACACAGCCAACTTCAATTGTAATACAACAAACAAAACACACAGAGAAAATAAAAGATGTAATAGAAATATCAGTTCAACACCCGGAGACATTGGTCACCTTGATGAACAGGGACACAATAAATAATAGCTGCAACAATATATATGTTTCAGAAGCAGACAAAAGTCTGAATGGTTCTCAAAAGCAGCTGCTTTTAAGTCCAAATGTAATTTTCGACAGATTAAAATAAGGTGTTCAACAAATAGTCTATATCACACCTTTTTCAGGTTTTTTAAGCACCCTCGAAAACTGTCTGCTAGAAAGCACAAATCAAGGAGAAGAGTTGAAAAGCAATCAACTGACTCTTCTATTTAGTACAACTAACATGGAAAACACAAAATTAATTCCTTGTATCTTCATGCTGACACTTGAGAATTTCCTGCATTCACCTTTGATTTGGATTGGTTCTTGAAACCTAACATCTTGTTTAAGGAATTAATGTATGCTCGGACACTCGAGACAACAATATCCATTCCTGCCCCAGTTCCACTGTCGCCAAAAGAAAGAGAATAAATCATATGATTCAAAGTAGCAAAATTCTATACCGCATCCACCCCCCAGTTATGACCTTTGTGTCTTTGGTTATGACCTATTGTGTTGTTAATTATAACTCATTCTAATATTGGTTATGACATTATTTTGGTTATGATCCAAGTGTTCTTTGTTATATCTTATGTGTTGTTTAGTTATAACTCATTTTTTTCTAGTTATGACTCCCATAATATTGAGTTATGCCATTTGTGATAATCAAACTCATAAATGGCATACTTTCATACCCTTCAAAGTATATCTATATGTAAGTATTGTGAACTACATGATGTAATACCCATTTTTCTATAAATAACATATTTTAAAAGTATACAGTTTTTCTTTTTCTTTGGTAAAGAAGAGAAGGAAAGGGAATAGGGTAAGGAATCCTACATTCGCAACGTTAAGACTAAAACCTAGGCTTCACGCCAAGTAAGGGAACACCTCAACCACTTTATGAGCTACCTTTTTCTGCCTAAAAAAATATATGATTTAGCAATAATGCATGGTCCAACAGAAAAATTGGGTTCTATAAGAGTTAAGATATACTAATTTGATGCAATTGATAATTACAATCTCCTATCTCATTATTTTGCGAAATTGCTTTTATATGTTTGATGTGATAGATTTTCATTGACAATAGCGACAGAGAGAAGTGCTGGATATTGGAGGACCTTTATTGTTTGTCACTTACATGACTAGACTTTAATTGTGGAGAATTTTGCTATTTCAATGAGAGTATTTGTCATGGTTGAAAATCATATATTCTCGTATTTTTGAACAGTTACAATCTTTAAAGTATCTATTCTGGGTGGCTGATACTATTCCTATAAAGATGTGCTTCATTCAAGTTGTATTAAATTAGAGAGAGCTGAAGGGTTTTAAGATAAGGGGGTGTATGCAAGTTCGTTTCTTTTTTATTTAGTGTGCTTGGGGCTTCTTAGTTCTATTTCCTCTACTTGACCTGTTCCACATACCAATTATGTAATTATTTCAGGCTATATGGTTGTTTCCGTGCTTTTAAGCCAATAAGCTTTATTGATCTTATTTGTTTATAGTTTTTAGTGGGTTTATATATTGATATCATAGACGTGATTTTGATTGTCCAGTATATCTCAATTTTTATCATTTATGTGAATCCTTACTGCATTGGTTGCATATTGTCGTTCTTTTGTGGTGCT